GAATAAAAGGCAGTATTGCACCAACCTGGCAAACTGGATCGCATTGAAGGTATTGGTTAGGTGACCGTACTTTTGTGTGATTTTGGATGCTGCATTGACCATCTCATCTTTGGTTTTAAACTCATTCAGTCTGAATTCAATTTTACAATCAACAGCATACTGAAGGACGCTGACCTGGCATCATAAGAGAATATGCTGTCAGTAACGACCACAAGTCAACAAGGTCACCACCTGAACGGTAATCCCCCCCACCACTTCATGTCTGCTTAGATGTTCTGGTTTGGCTGACGAGACAAGACACTACCTGTGTGTTTTGGGGCCCAATGTCGAGCGCAGGTATTAGCTTCTTAAGGAAATTAGTAATTGGACCCCAAGGATAAATGCTGTTGGAGCCGTCCAAAACAATCACAATGTCCATAGGTCCTCCACAGGCTAGAAATGTCATGAGAGGGGACACAAAACCTTTAGGCAACTGCGATTAATTAATCCGGAGTCATACACTTTGCATTACAGCTGACAATTTTTTTAGTAAAAAACAAAACAAAACTGCAACCAGAAGACAAATAACTAACACTGACATGTGGTACGAATCATTCAAACTGGGCAATTTTTAGTATTAAAACAATATTTTATTTTATTTACTGATTCTAAAATTTCTGATGACAGAGAGTTTCTGACAACCACCTGGATGTACCTGAAGGAGCAAACTATAAATCAAGCTCTGAACACAACTGTGTCGACATGTAATAACACAACTCTGACAAACAAAGCAGATTGTCACTGCAATAGATTTGAAACCACTAAAAATGAAAGTTGTTTTGAAAGGTAGGTAATTAGTCTAAGAGAGAGTTGGCTATACACCTCTCAAAATATCAACAACTACACTGTATATAAGCATCTTACTCTGGAGGGCAGGAGAGAAGGCAGGTTGAAGCTGAAAGAGGGGATTCATTTTTGCACATATTCCTGGATAGAAGTCCTGTGAGCCACACTGCTGTCCCCAGAGAGGACCACATGTCTGCATTAGATGACCACAACATAAAAGAGAGGAGACTTAACAGACGTTCAAGTTTGTCACTGCCTTTAAAAGCTACTGTAAACTCTTATGTCTGAGTGTGACTGTTAGAAATTTGACTGACCTCATATTCAAGTATTTTTGATGGCAAATAAATTCAAACCTGTAACACTAAACAGGGGGGGTCTGTGTTTACTAACTCACTGGCCTGGCACTACTTCCTGTTAAAGTGGTTGATCTATAAAAAAATACACTTCCGTCTGCCTAAAAATATCATGTAAATTGCAAAGGAAATTGTGACTTCCCTATTTTGCAGCTCTGTTACCGCATCGTCAAGTGTTTTCATCTTGTACCTTCAATAGATCTGAAAGCTGTTTTTCTAAGCATATATCACATTATGAACAGACATGCAAACACATATACCATCAAACCAGTGACTGCAGTCATCCGGGTAAGAGTCAAACCCAGGCACATGTTTTTGTCGAGGGTGTTAACATTTGGAATACTGACAGAACCTGTAAATACAGTAGGAAAGACATAAATAAATAAGGTTCAGATTATAGTTGTAACATAATGTGCACAGTTATAAGATGTACTAGTAAAAAAAAATGTGGTTTGTATATATTTGTATATTATTGGTTTCTATTTTTGAATTTTCAAGACAGAAAAAAGCCAAATGTCTGGGATCATCCTGGATGTTTTGTGCATCTTTTCAGTCGTGTTGAGACATTTTCATTATATGGCCAATGTTTGGTAGAGAGGTCAGTGGTTAAACAACAAATGTTACCTTGAAGATTGAGTTTGTCGCATGTGTTTCTGGACCCTGACACTGGACACTTGTAGACATCACCTTTCCTGTTTTGACTGTAACCACTCCATGGAGCACCAACCAGGAGCCTACAGAAAACAACAATATTTATCTCCTTCTTGCTCCGTAAGCAATCACTGGAAGAGGAGCATCTCAGTGGTTTGTGTACACTGTATCACCAGCTGTACCTACAATAGTTGAATTAGACTTGCCCAATTTATTAAATGTTGAAAATGGTTAAGGAATCACTGGCATGTTATCAAAATAAAAGTCGTGTTACTACATGTCAAAGTATTATTAAGGAGCCCAACTTTACCCTCACTAACTTGTGGACCAATTGTAACTTGAAAGCGATTCAAAACAAACATACATATCAGTTTGTGGTCTCTCTTTTTTTTTTTTTATCAGCAAGCAGCAATGAGTCAGTCACAACATTCTTCTAATTTTCTAGGAAACAGCTAACAAGACTCTACAAGTACACACAGAAAATATCCACTTCAAACCGCACATTATCTCCACATCACAACATTTAGATTCTGCTTGCTGTTGTTGAAGTGAAGTGGCTACTTACAATTTGGACACTTCTCAAGATCCTGAATCACCACCAACAGCAATATGTATGTAAGTGACCCAGAAACCATAAAAACTATCTTTATATACAGTCATATTCTATGAGCTGACCCAAAATTATGTTAAAGTTCATGACAGTGTACATGACTTTTCCCCACATTACCAAACAAGACAAATGGGACATATAATTCTTCATTTGATGACAGGAAACAGGATGTATTACAGTTGCTTTCTTATGGACACTAGGGTGCTAGAGCGCTATCAGACACTTAAGACTTCCCCCAGTTACATAACTAGGACACTCTTCCAGACAGTGAGTTACTCTATGAGACTGTGACTCAGTTTACAACATCCAGATATCGTAAGAAACTCAGTTACTGTTTAACTAACTGCTATGAATAAGTGGGGTGAAATGTAAGAAGCTGTAAACATGGCAGGGTTGGTTGCTTCACACACACAGATTGTAGTAGCTTGAACAAAACTGAGCACTTAAGATTTCGGATAACAGTTTTGCAGAGATTAAATATTATTGTAAGATTCAATAATCTGTTGCAACATCAACTTATCAGTAGAGCTAAAATGATAAAATCAGATTTCTTTAAATGCCCAAATATCTGCATAGGCCTAAAAAATACAGGATATTTCATTTTGGGCCAAAGTAGTGGACTGAGGGGCCAAAGACAGAATGACAAACACAGACATCCATCTAGTATTTAGCAACGTGCAGTTTCTTATACTTTGCAGTTCCAACCTAGCAGTGTATTGAGCAAAGACTACTGTATTTTTTTAAGATACAGCTGAACTGAACTCATGCTTAGGCCACAATCTGTCAGAAAAAAGAATCCTTGTCTCCTGTGCGATGCCCATAATACAGGCCAGTTCTCATAGTGTAACAGTGTGGAGAGTTGTTTACATGCCACCGAATACCTAAACATTCCTGGCAACCATGTGTGTGTGTCTACAGCAGCAGATCTTAATCTGCAAACTGGATACTTCTACAAGGACAATTCTCCATGATATGACAGAAATACATATATCAGTTCAAAGCTGGTGTACACCAAAAATGTGCGCAGCCTTGAGATTTCAACCTTGTGGAGCATCTGGGAGATTAGGTAGGTGGAGCTTTGCCGCGCACTGTGAATCTGTACATCAACATGGAACAAGGCTGATCCTTCAGACATCTTGTTGAACCTGGAATCTAGCCTGTTGTGGTGTATAGGCTTGTGCTGATGTGATGTATCTGCACTTTGTTTGCTCTCGAGTAAACAGCTCTCTGCATGTGGATGTCTGAGCGTCTTTCTCTCCTTTCATGCTATTTCAAAGATGCTCCAAAGAAACTAGATAACCAAATTAAATAAATGAATAACTGGATATCTGAATGTAACTGGACAGGACGGGGCTTGTCATGGGAATGTGGTCTAGGCCTCAGCGACATAGAACATAGTTAGAAGCAATACTTAGCATTACAGGTAAAATGTTTATAGTCACACCAGGAGAAATCTTGACCAAGAAAATTACTTTTCTTTCACTGAACAAAATCCTCAACATAACACGTCTTAAATTCATACCATTTGCCTGCATGGTTTGTTGTCTGTAGGATTGTGTAGCCAAACTCTTCTGCTGCTGGGCCAACAAATATCTTGGCACCTGCAGTGCCGACGTTGAAGGACTGCGATTGCCAGACTTTGTCAACTGGTGGAGGAGAAAGATGAGATTGGATGACACTGATTTTAATAAATATCATCATGTAATTCTGTTTAGCAACAATACAAACTAGTCAAAACAGTTGTACTGGCTAAACCTATTTGAAAAGAGGTTTGATGCTCTATCTTCAGCATACTGACTTCCTCCAAAGTGTCAGGTGGATATTTTTGTAGTTTTAACATACATTTTTAAAAACCACCTCAGCTTGGCTCATTGGCAGTGCAATAAAAAAAGCTTTGCAACAAATACAATAGTCATACTATTGAGAAAGCATTGTGAAAAAATTGCATCAAAAGAGATAGCTCGTCCTGGAACAGTACGTTTCTGACACAATAAGCCTTCCAACACAGTCCTCTGAAACCCTCAGGACATGGAATTTGCTCATCTGTCAGTGACTGTAGTGTCAAACCCACAAGCCCATACAGGCAGAGCTCAGCTATCAGGTCCGTGTATGTTCAGAGGAATGTGGATGGGAACTGGACTCAGGAGACCTTCTCTAGCACAGCCTTTTGCCACGCCCGTTTACCTGAGGCACAAAGTAGCACTTTGCCTCGCACTGGCTATGAGGCAGTAATTGAACGCCTCTGTCAGGCTGCTGCCACCAGAAAGCATGTTACTTTTCTCCACTGTGAGGCATATGATGCACAGCAAAACAACAATTAGTCTTATTTATTCCGCGTGGCTTGGCTTTGGATCATACATGTGATAGCAAATGAAGAAAAGCTGCAGGATGATCATTGAAAACAAAAGCGTTACCAGGCTGATCCATGGAGCAAATTCCTACTGAGCGTACACTCATGTGCTGCTCTTCAGGAGAGTTTAATGCATGAAAGCATTTAACACTCTCTTTCAAACCTGCAAAGAAGGACTAATAAACTTTACCAACTCCACTCTCATGAAAACGATATAAAACCTATTCGTAGCGAGGATATTTCTATTTCTACTGTTTGCGTGAGGGCACGGCGTCGCCAAAAGGGAAGCTACAAGTTAAGGCCAGAAATAAGTTCAGTACTTACTAATGACTGTTAAAGTGAGGAAGATGTTGCCCCAGAAGAAATCCATCGTCGTCTTTATTCCATTTGAATGAGGTGACTGCTGTTAAGTGAAGCCGCACTTGTCAAAAGTTGTGGCTCCGGGCGCAGTCAGCGGTGACGCACCGGATAGACTTTCTAAATAAGGGCTTGTGCGCGTACCTGCTGGCACAACCCACGTATTGTCAAGGGTGTGTGAAGTGAAGTCTGTAATAACGTCTGACTGTAAAGAGGCAGCTGGGACACGCTCTGTAACTAAATCCCGTTATGGGCAGGCAGAGGATGTGTAAAAGAGCCTCAGACAGATGAAGTTTAAAGTCCCAACTGTTTGATGCCTTGCAGGTACCAATCGTAAAAATCAAATCTAATTTCAAATGGAAGCAAACGACGGCTGTGCTCGAAACAGGATCACGCCCACCAGCCCTAATTTGAATATCTTTTAATAATCACTCCAGAGCCACGCCAAGTGTGGACAAACAACACTTAAATCAACAATCTGAGATTTGTCTCATCTGTAATCAGACTGAAACCTATAATTTAAGTATTTACAGCTCACTGTGGAGCAGATAGTAACGGCTGAGACAAGATGGCCTCAAGGAAGAACAGAATATCAGAACCTATGGACACAAGCCCACACAACAGAAAGTCTTCACTGGAACAATGACCAGAGCCTTTTTCCGTTACTGGAAAACAGTGATGTAAGACCTTTCATTAGAACATGTGGGACTGTAAATGAAATGAGCAGGAAGATGAAAGAACTGAAAGACATTTCATTTTCAGTGAGTGGCTTCATGTTAGTGTTTGTTGCTCAGTGCCCAGATAAACAATTGTTTCCTCTGGTCTCATATTGTTTTGGGAGAAAGTAACCCAAGATGTACAGTTAGTAACATTTTTTCTATTATAATTAAAAGGAAACACTAATTTTAGACACAGGAAGTTTGTCCCAGCCTCTGAAAAGGTTGTATTGTGTGTCTTCTGAGGTCCCCTGAGAAAATAACCCTGATGATATCATCTTGGCTGAAGATTTTTAACAGAAAGCCTGCATTGTGAATCGGGGTTGTGGAATTTGGAAGATGTGGACATTTACCATATTATTGCATTATGGAAGATGTAGGATCCTGCTTTTCTTTCTTTTTTTTTGTATTCCTTTGGGCTGAGGAAAGTCAGGAGATTTGAGCCTCAGCTTCTACAGACATAACTTTTGTTTTCTTCAGTCAAACTGTGTAATAATAATTAAATACAGTACACACATCTGGAAGGAGTCGAGTATGACCCCACTCTGATCAGCTGGCCAGTGGGCAGCTCTAGTGGATCAACCATGCTCAAAAACAATCATGATAATGAGAGAGGGGCACGCATTCCTCTCCCCACTCAATTTTCTCCTGCCAGATGAACCTGAAGGGGCTCAAACCACTGCCAAATGAGTGAGTCCATCAACTTTATGAAAGTGCAATACTAAAACAGTTGAGTACTCCTTTAAGTGCTTTCACCCTCATGGAAGCACTCGTTTTACTGGACAATAACAAAGTTTGGTATTTCTTTAAAAGGCTTCCATTGTCCTGATAGACTGAGACTAACTAATCATCCTAATTTAAAAAATAATGTATGCTTAAACTCCTGAAGCAGATGTACATATTGCCTCATGTTTGAGAACTGAAATGCACTGAGACTGACCAGTTTTAGACTTCAGTGTCCAAATACAATGTAGAGTTTGGGGAGGCAGATACACCACAGTGCCATGACCCTCAGCTACGTCATTCAGTTGCATCAATTCAAAAGCTTCCTGGTGGCCTGGAGAGAACAATGCACAAGCTCATTGAGCAGCTGAGCCCCAACGAGAACTCCCCTGTGTAGGCATGGTTTATGTGTAAATCATTTTGTGGTCCAGAACACCTTCAGAATTCAAAATGAGGAAGTTCAAGCATTTCTGTGTGAGTGACGTGGAGCAGTCCCTGAAAAAGGCTCTTTTTCCTTTCTGGCGTTTGTGTTGACAAGATGCTTTGAGGAAGGGATCAAGATGAGATAAAACAGAACCATTCACTTTTCACAGAAGTGATAAAGTTAATATCATATGAGATGAATCCCAATACTGCAAAGCAACATGTTGCCATGTTATAATCCTCTCCCTTTGACCGGATACTGCATGCCTTCATTTGTATAGATCATTTCACAAACAGTGCTGAGTAGCTTACTCTGGTAAATCATGCTGAACAATCTAAGGAAGGATCTTGCAGCAGCCGAGCCTGTTGTCTGTTTTCCTCTCAGGGCCCCTACATAATGGAACAGTGTGGGCACGTCACTAAAAATCCCCACTGAGGAGGAACATGATTCATTAGCAGTTGGTCTGTATGTTTGAAGCCCATTTAGGACAAGCTTTTGTCTTTACTATTCCTATTCAACAGTCAGTTCACCCACATTATAAAAAAACATTTTCTCACTGTTCTCAGGTGGCATTGCCACAGGGGTAGTTTAGTTTTTACTGCATGTCTTTGGTTTTGAGGTAGAATCCATCTCTGCAATTTCTGCCACCACTTAAGTTCAACAGAGGTTGATGTAAACTTGTTTGTGGTGCTCGCAGAAATGAAAAATGTCTTTTCACAACCAGTGTCCTTGTTACACTATCTTTATTCAAACAACTTTTTATTACAGACACAGCCTGCTGTGAAACATTTTACAGCAAAGTCTGTACTTTTGCATTGGCAGCTTGTTGTGTGTGTGTGTGTTTTATGTTGTTCCTCACAACAACTTGTATGTTACAAGCTAAACAGAGCTTCATGAGGGCACTGTTTATTATAGGTCTATATCACTACATATAGAGTTCATTTTTTTTTACAGTAGCCTATATTATTGCTCTATTTTCTATATTATTGTTTTTTAAATAATATTTTACTTTACTAATTATAGAAATTGTGTTTTTTTGTAACTGTGACACTCACAAATCCATTTATATATTTGTAATTATAAATATATATTCCTAATGCTTTGGCAATACTGCATATATAAGCAGCCATGCCAATAAATCTTATTGAATTTAAATTGAGAGAATAATCTTATTGTGTTTGTTCCAATATGACTGAATTCATTTCAGAAACATCAGCCACCTTTGACATGAGAAAGTATAATAACCATTGCAAACTTGGACACTTTTAATAAACTATCATATCAAAAATCATAAATCAAGCTTTTCTATGTAAAATAGTGATTATATATAGTGTACTGTATATCATCAGATTCCAAGTTACACATTTTATTATTAGTGCTATAAGCTGTTTTAGTGCTTTTGCAACTAATAGGCAAGTTTGAAAACAAAATCATGTAGTAAAATGCAACGACATGACTACAGAGTTCTGAGTGAGTGGATTGTAGCACAGAGCTAATCCCTCTTTCGCACCCATCTGCTGACCAGTAGGAATCTAAGGCCCTGGTTTGCTGTGCTGCACTGTGAGCCAGACAGTCACATCCAGCAGGCTCAGAAGGGCTCACGAGTCAGTGACTGCACACAGACATGGTGACAATGTGACTTTGTCATATCAGTCACCATCTTGTCACACGACTAGAGACTGTGGTGAGGCTCTGTTAGTTTTGTGCAGTTAGGTTTCCTGGCACCCCTCCTTGAACCGCCACCTTATTGTGGTGGAGGGGTTTGAGTACCCGAGTGATCCTAGGAGCTATGTTGTCGGGGGCTATATGTCCCTGGTAGGGTCTCCCAAGGCAAACAGGTCCTGGGTGACGGGTCAGACTAAGAG